ACAAAATTCTAGATATTATTCATAATTTTTGGCTTGTCTGAGACATTTTCAAGCAGATCAAAATAAACAACCATTTGCACCAGAAACTTCGGCTTATACTTTCTGTCGAAACTCTTTTTTTTTCAGTTTTTCAAAGACTACCTCATTACTCTCGAACAAAAATTAATATAACAGATCAAAAGTCATATTGAAAAAGTGCAAAACACGCTTATCCTAATTCATAGGTTTTCACTCCTCGGAAATACTTTCAAAAGAGTCAAAAATAAACAAATATCTTCCTCATAATACTGATTGATGTTTTTCTAGATTATTTAATTTTTTTTTCTTATCTTCTTTTATACGTTCAAATCGAAAATAATTGAGATATACAAGAAAAAGAAAAAACGTATCAGCTAAAGAATTGAAATGCTGACACAAAATAAATAAACAGAATATAAACACACTCACGTCTTTATCAACCATCAAAAAAAAAAACGGAAAAAAACAATTATGAAGTACAACGATAAGAACAAAATTCAAATGTTCATCTCGTGGATGTAGACGTAGTTGAAATAAAATAAAAATTCTTTGAAATATTTTTTGTTTAAATGTTTTTCTCAAATTATTTATCACCACTAAACAATTTACCAAGTCCACCTGGTCCACCACCTTGTTGAAATTGTCGCATCATCGATGATAAACCCGATGTACCACCTAATTAATTAATAAATAAGAAAAAAAAGTAAATCTTTTTATCAAAAAAAGAAACAAATTTACCAATTTGATGTAAAATTCTTGGATCAATTAATTTACTCATTTGACTATTTAATTTTTGCATTTGTGTTGGATTAACATTTTTTGTCATATCACCTGATTTAAATAAACCTTTAATACCACCCATTTTTTTAACCATTTGTGCAAATTTCGAATATTGTGCTATTAAATCTTGCACATCTCGTATTGAAACACCAGCACCACGAGCTACTCGAGCATAACGACCAGGTTGATTTTTAAAAAGTTTTGCTCCATCAAGATGATCAAGTTCTTTATTATATTTAATAAGGAAAAAAAAATTCATAATACAAAACAATAATAAAAATTATATTTACCATTATCGTTCATACTATCCATAACACACATCATTTTTTTTAAACGTGCTTGTGATTCTTGTTCACCACTTTTCGATATAAATTCTGTACCAAATCCAGGAATCATACCCTATTTAATTAAAATAAATCGATCTAGTTCAATAAATAAATTCCTCCTTTAAACAAACCATTATTTGTCCAAATGGACCCATTTTCATGATATTTTGAAACTGTTCATACATATCACGTAATGTAAATTGACCTGAATAAAAATATATTTAATAATTAATTTTATATAGCGATTGTACTGGAAGTTTTTCGACAAAATGTTTGACCCACTCGAAAAGAGTTTGATGAGTAGTGAAAGAATCTTTGAAAAATCTTGCAAAATTTCTCGCAATATATTAAAAATTTTCGTATCTATCTGATCAGTTGACGCTTTCAGTTTCACGTGATATTTTGAGAACCGCTTTTTTCTCATTTCTAGTAATCGAAACCGCGGTTCCAGTTCCCGATAATTATTGCAACGTCGAACTCTAACGCGCTACATTTTGCTCCAACCTCATACTCTGCAGGGAATTGCCTCCATGACTAAGTTGTTCGACACGTATCTACAAGGTATTATGCGCAAACTTCAGTAGTACTAGTCATGGAATGATCCAGAACAAGCCGCCAATAATTGTTTGCTTCCGATAGCACGCTGAATACGTTGTAACATACATCTGTTCTTGTGGTTAGTTAGTATGTATGGGAAGCACAAGAACCCTGCGTCTAGTCTAAAGCTGCAGCTGTACATAGTTGTAGGGAAGATATCGGACAATTGAATTTACTACTAGGCAGCAGCACTCGGTATCACAAGATAGCTGGAAGGCAAGGACATTCTTCTTCTTCTTATAGAGAATTATGGGCTCAAAGTGACTTGTATAGATCGTAAAAAACTCTCTCGATATTATCGTATAGAAAATAGATACAAATTTTCTGAGCTCATCTTCGGAAAAAACATGAAATTCTTATCCAAATTCATAATTTTTAATTCAACTAGAGTACTGTCAAAGAGATACATTGGAAAAATATCATATCTCCAGTAAATGGTCACTCTAGGTACCTATAGTTTATTTTTATTTTTCTTATCACTCTACTAGTCTGAATTTATAATGAGTAGTAATAGTGATGAGTAATACCTAATATAGATTAACTCAAAAAGTGTCGGACAAAGAATTATCATACAACTAAAATTCTATTGCCATGGCTACAGCTGCTCCATCTTTACTATATTCAAGTCATCCACAATTGTCAACTATTTCATAGCAATTCAATATCGTATAGACAATCTTGATGAACAATGTTATAATTTCTATAGAATACTTAGAAGGTTTATTATTTACAGATGCTAAACGAAAAAACCAATGACCCTATAGATTTTTTCTTTTTATCTGTTGACTTATTTTTGATCTCTATTAGAATTATCCAATACAATAAAGTATATGTCTCGCTAGTCGGAATTTTCTAAAGCACTTGTCAACATTTTTACAGCCAACCATTCGATTCAAACTATTGTTTTTATAGTCTTTTTAATGATTCTATTGCTTCTCTCATGCAACACTATATACAAAATTTCTGAATTCATATTCTGAAAGAATATAAAACTTTGCTTATAACCTATAATTCATCTCGAATAGATCAAACATTTCATTGAAAAACTTTCTGCATACTCATTATTTAATTTACCATGTTTTAATTTTTCAATTAATTCTTCATTATCTTCCAATTTCAAATCATTGACTTTTTCAACTAAACCTTGTATATCACCCATACCCAATAATTTACTGATAAATGGTTTAGTTTTAAATACTTCAAAATCATCAATATGTTCGCCTGTACCAATAAATATAATTGGACTTTTCGTTGCAGCAACACTAAAATAATCAATAATTATATCCTAACATATATATATGTATTTTTCATATAACATACGCGCTTAGAGCTCCACCACCTTTAGCATGACTATCAAGTTTAGTAACAATAACTGAACCAACATCAACTTTTGATTTGAATGCTTGTGCCTTAAAATTATTAAGATAAGTAAAATAAACATAATAATTAAATAAAAATATACTTGTAATTCGCAAGCTTGACCAATACTAGCATCCATTACGAAAATAATATTATCAGGTTGCTAAACGAGAAAATAAGGGGGAAAAAAAGTACATAGAATTTATTGAAATTTTAATTTATTTAATCTTCTTACAATTCCATTTGAAATTTGAAGCATTTCTTCAAATAATGATTCTTCTTGTGCATGTCGACCACTTGTATCAACAACAATTAATTCAAAATTATCTTTACGAAATGTTTCAACACCATCCATAGCAATTACTAATGGATCACTTTCTGTATAACTAACAAAAAATTATATTTTATTTTTTTTTATTCTACAAAAAAAAAGAATATTAATCAAAAAAATATTTACCTGCCATAAAATGGTATACGTGCTTTAGTTGCATTTTGTTTCAATTGATCAAATGCACCAGCACGAAATGTATCAGCACATACTAATGCTGTTTTCCAACCACGTCTCATAAAATGATAAGCATACTAAATTTAAATAAGAAAATAATTAATTATGAATAAAATTGAACATTTACCTTTGTACACGTTGTGGTTTTTCCACTACCTTGTAAACCAACAAACATAACAATATTAGATTTATTTTTGACTGGTTGCCATGCTTTAACTTCAGGATCAATGAGCTATTAAAAATAATATTATTTTCTTTGTTTTTTGTTTTAATTAATTTATTATATTTTATTTGTTACATACTCGAACAAGTTCTTTAACAACAGCTGATTGAATCAATCGACGTTTATTTAAACCAACAGCTGTTTCTTCTAAGTTTATTGCTTGTCTATTTATATACAAAAGAAAATATTAATAAATTTGCAAGTTTAGAAAATTCGAAAAATTAAACAAATTCTAGTACTTAACTCAATCAGGATTCTCAAGAAATGTGTTTAAAATATCAAATTTTGCTACATCAATTCAACGAATTGTTAGTAGCTTCCACGATTTATTTTTTTCTAGATCTTTCGAAATTTTTCTATAAATTTCGTTATACTGGTGACTATGACTCTCTTTTGGTATAGTTAAAATTGAGTATATGCTATTGTTAGATCAATCCCAGTAGTCCCTCTCATAATTCTTGCTTTTAGCATCATTGGAATCTGATACTTTCAATGAAATTTTCTAATAGGAATAGGACAGCCGCCTCGAAAATACACGATACTTTTCTCCGGTTTATTTGTATTCGGTGACATTTGTCAGACGACTCGTTTGAGAAATGTGTAGGGTAGAGCCTATCAGGTCTAGGACCAACCTGACAGGATCTCCTTCAATGACGAATCTAAGTGGAGGATACTGGGGCCGATCACTCCCCTTCCAAAAGGTTTCTCTCAATTTTGCATAGTAGAAAAGGCTTTAAAATGAGCTGATACTACGTATAATAAGCTTCAAAACACGTTTTATGATCATGATTGCTCCTTCCACCATAAAAACTCTAGATCTACCACTGATCTTTTTATATTTTATCAGTTCTAAAATATAGAAGATATATTTTATATAATTCATCTTACTTGACATTTTCACGTAATTGTTTGACTAAACGAACATTAACATCAGCTTCTAATAAAGCTCGACAAATTTCTCCCAAAGCTTCATTTAAAACTTGTTCATTGATAATAGTTGCATTACTTAAATTTCGTAATGCTGATGAAAGACGCCGACCAAGATCAGCAAGAACCATTTTTTTAATTTATCTAGAATTAGACATAGAATTAGACATACTTTTTATTTAACAACAAATATATATATATATATATATATTTATATTTATATAAACAGATTGTCGTTTAATACAAACGAGAAAAGAAAAAGATTTTAATGAGAAATTGCTCGATAAAAAATATTATACGGTTTAGACATATGACTCCAATATTGTTCAAGTAATTTATCAAGTGTTAATGTATTTTCAATAGGTACATCATCATTTATTTTAATAAACCATTGAAATTCTTGTTCAATAAATGTTGAATTTTGTTGTTCAATTTTCATTCTTGTATTAATAAATTTTGATAAATGGTTTATAGTTGCATTTAATGGTGTTAAAATTTTTCTTGCTGTATATATATTAAGATTATTTAATGGTTTAAGTTGTAATTCAATATCATTTATTGTTGGTGTTGAACCAGCTGATGATGATGATTCTGAAATACGTTTTTTCTTTTTTTCTTTTGTTTGTTGTTGTTCATCATCTGATGATAAACTTGCACGTATTGGTTTTTTTGAATGTTTATTTCGATTATTTACTAATAAATCATCATTATCATTACGTATTGGAAATAATTTTGATATTAATGCATCTATATTTTGATCACGACGTAAACATCGTTTTGATATTAATTTTTTTCTACATGTTGGACATTCTTTATTTCCACTACGTAATGCTGTTTCAATACAATCACAACAAAAACGATGTAAACATTCTTTTGTTGTACGTGTATTACGTAATAGATCAAGACATATTGGACATGTTAATTCACTTTGTAAAGATTTTGGACTTATAAGTAATTCTTCATCATGTAATAATTCATGTGGTTTACGCTGTTGTTCATATGGTGTTAAATCCCATGTTAAACCAGTTTTAAAACCAGAAGAATTATTTGGTGTATCGGATGAATTCATTTGTGATGAATTTGAAACGTTTGTACTCGTTGAACGACTAAAATAGTTTGGCGAAACAAATTAAAAAAATATTTTTTAGAAAAAATAATAAAGAAATTACATCATTAGATTGATTGAATATTAATATACATAAGACATTGATGAATGAAGTTTTCAAATAAAAATCTGAAACAAAATATTATTGGTTTCCTTTTTATATTCAAATAGATACTTCTTCATATCAACGACACTCCCGCACACATACTCATTGATAGAGTCTATCAATAAAGTATAGCACCTGTCTTCAATCTGAAGAAGGCCAATATTAACCTTAAAATGTAAAATATCATTTTTTTTTCGACAAAGCCTATACTGTATACTTAACTATGATCCTGAAAAAATAACATAACTTGAATATTACATGTAGAGAATATTTCATAAGAAACTATTCTTCTTAATATGATTGATATTCTGAGCCATAAAGATACTAATGAGTATGTAAATACAAAAAAAAAAATAAATGGATAATTTTATATTACAATACGAACGAAGAAATAAACATATGACGAAGACTGCCAACATCAACCAATCGCATATGATGAGTGATATTATTATTAATTAGCATTAGTAATGTTAATACATTTTAGAATGTAATAAAAAAGTTCAAATGTTCTTCTAAAATTTAAAAAACTTAAAAAACATTTATCACAATAGGTTGATTAATAGCGACATCTATGAATGAATTTGGAATTCTTACTCATCGAATTATGACTGTCATGTCAAATAGAATGTTTCCTTGCTGAAGAGGAAATAAGATGTTTCGTATTATAAGCAATAGATCTAATTATTCTTGTTTTCAATTTTTGATATGAGACAAGAGTTTCAAACAATGCCTTGTCTAAGATTTTAGGAAAAGGGAGCGATCATGATCATAGAATATTTTTTGAAGTTCATTAGAGATCGTGTCGACTCATTTTTGAACATTTTCTACTGAGAAAAGTCAAAAAATAATTCGGAAGAGAGGATTAATCGCCTCCAATGCTTTCTTCTAGGTCCGCCACCGGTTTTAAATGATAATTTGATCGATGAACACATTTTGAAAAGATACTTTTGTTTTTAAAATTCAATAGAAACTGTTTATATATACTTTGTATTTATCATACATTCATAAATGAAATAATAAAGAAGTACGGTATCAGAAAATGCTGATATTTATATAGATCTGTGAAAAAAATAAGATCTTGAAGATGAAAATTACTTTAATTTTATTTTTGTAAACTTATCAAAAAAAGTGATATACATCAGTAGTTAGCTTATTTTTTATGAATTGATCAAAACGACTTCATAAAACAATAGTTTTTTTTTATTATAATTGAGTTTGATCTTATAAAATCTTTTTGACAAATCCATTCAAATAATCGTTAAACTATTATGCAAGTGTTTTCTTTTATTTTCGCATCATTTTACTGATGCATGTATGGCAGTAATAAACTATATACATTTTGAACAAACAGAAAGTTTTCGATTAATCAGTAAAAAATAGAAATCAGTGTTATTGGTGGCGTTCATCGAAGAGAAATACGATTTAATATTTTATGTTGTCTTTTTGTAGAAAAATGCGAACTTAATCTGTAGTTCTCTCTCTTTTTCTGACATCACTTTAATCATGATGATTGCAAGACAAAAAATAGTTACATATGGTTTAAAAGAGAATATTTATCAACAAATAAAAAGTTTTTGTTCCAGAATGTTTGTATTGAAAACATCAATGGATCAATATTTTGAAGAATTATTATTTTATTTGTGCATCGTATGTTATACTCAATTCAACATTTATTTGTTTTTGGCAATATAGATTTTAAAACACTTTTATCTAAAAAAAAAACTATTCAATTAGCCAGATTTTTTTTCCATCCGATGTGATATGAAAATGAGAAAAATGCCAGATGCTTTGAAACAATTAGATCAGTCATCATCAAGTGATTTAAAGTTTGACACAAAAGATATAATCGCTTTTGTTAATATATTTATTCTCATTTCTAACAAACAATAAACAACAGATAGATGAGATTCAGACTTACTGTTAAGTTTGCAATTGTACTGAGAAATGAAATATTTATTTTATCGATAGTTTTTTCTGAGAATGAAACATTTACAACGGCGACAAATGAATAATGTTTCTTATCTGCAACCATCAAAATCCATAGTTTTCTCCCTTTACTGTTTTATATGAACGGCAGAGTGATGGATACTATTGAATAGATAAATACGACAAAACTGATTAGCATTAAGTCTTTAACTCCTATTGGCAACTGGAATTGCCATTTTTAGAAACATTACAGAAAATGCAGAATGCAAGATATTAAAAAACTTCTTAAACATTATTTGTACAGAATCCCATCAGCTATCAATTGGCAAAAAAATATATTTTGTATCATTGCTCTCTCTCCAAGATATACGACTTACATCAGAGACTACTATGAGATTATCAAAAACCAAGACTTCTTTTTTTTTCTTGAATTGTTTTTTTTACCAACGAGAAATATATCCTTGATGATCTGCTATATACTAAATATCGACAAAAGTTCTCTTATTAAATAAAATACGTTGCAAAATTTTCAAACGAACTAGTTAAACAAGAGATCGTACGATATAAAATGGAAACTGGAGTTGCCATTGGGGGTAATAACATGAAAAAAAATTGTTAGACATTCATCTCTAATGAGAGAATCTTGCCAGATGATCAAATCACTTTTTAGAAGAGTCTTACCTCGTTAGGTAGACCATATTGAGACTAGAAAAAGCTTAAAATGATTCGTATGTATAGGCCTTTCTTCTTGAGTTATGGTCATTTTACTGAGTTTTTTAACAAAATGCTGTAGTCCTCCTCAAGTCATCTTCAAAACTCGACTTCCATGTTTTGAGTTCAAACTTTGCATATATAAAGTTCCTAATGAGACTAGTTCATTGTGAAAGTTTCAAATTTTTTTAGTATCTCCTATTCTGAGATGCGAATACTGAAAATTCTGTTGCGCAAAAAAAAACCAAACATTGTTCTTATATTCATATCTTAGGATAGTAGATGTAAACATAAAAACAAAGTCAGCTGTTTCGCATAACAGAAGATACTAAGAAATCTGAAACTTTCACAATGAACTAGTCTTATTGAGAGCTTTATTTATGCAAAGTTTGAACTCAAAACTCGAAAGTCAAGTTTTGAAGATGACTTGAGGAGGACTACGGCATTTTGTTGAAAAACTCAGTAAAATGACCATAACTCAAGAAACAAGGCCTATGGACAAGAATTATTTTCAAGGAGAAAAAGCAGACTTCTATACTTCTTGGTACTTCTCAGTACTTCTTGCTACTTCTCGATATTTCTGTCTAACTCTACTCTCATTTACACCTTTTTATCAGTTTTAATTTATATAAATGCTCATATTATTCCATCAATTTTTAATATTTCAATTAAAATAATACTTCAAACATATGAATAACATAGAACGTTTGATTGCATTCGCTCGTACGACGTGGAAATGCAAAAAAGAACAGACAGACAGACAGACAAGCATTCTTCTTTATACGTAAGATATAGATCACGATCCTGACATTGTGCATTCAAATATGTCATTATAAATACATAGATATAATACTGAATGAGTAACAAATGTATGCGAGAAGGAAGAAAAGCAAAAGTATAACGATAAAAACATGTGTCTCTTTAATTATCCTTCTAATATGTTAATCATACGTCCATAATTTTCAAACAAATATGAATGATGATGGTTAGACATTCTTTGTATACTATAGAGAGAAATAAAAACATTATTCAAGGAAAACCAAATGAAGCCATCGACATGCATTCAACAAGATAGTCATTTTTGTAAAAGACAGTTTTGTTTGAATTTATTTTCAGAGTAATGTCTCAAGAAGAAGAAGAAGAAAAGTCTAAAAAGACAAATTTTTGGCAACGATTTCATATTAAAAAACAACATAAAACACAAATTGAAGTAGTGAGCATTCAGAGTCTGGTAAATAAAATTATTAATATTATTTTATCAATTCAAGTTTCTTTTTGATTTTTAGTTTCGATATGCTACTATTCCTGAATTATTTTACATAGTCTTAGGAACTATTGCATCCTTAGCTTTTGGTGTTTGTCTCCCATTAGCTTTGATACCCTTTGGTGCTATGGTTGATTCATTTGTTGATCGAGCAACTAATCTATGTTCATTCAATTTGACATCTCTCACTCAACAATA